TCACGGCCGCGTGTGCACAAAGCAGAGACCGACACACCAGCCCTAGAGATGGAAAGAGAGGCCTGCCTCTCACATGGATGCCCCTCTCTTGGACCTGAAACAAGTAGAAATCAAACCTCTGACTTCCGGAGATATTAGGAAAATTAGAAGGGAGTATTTGAGTCAGGAACAAGTGGTGACATCAAAAGACAAGGATGTTGTTGTTATAGCTCTATTGTCCTTATGATGAAACAATCACGTCCCTACCGTCCCACCCCCACCCCCACTCTGGGCCATCCCAGCCCCTGCCCTGGTCTTTTTGCAGGCCCCGCCCAGGGGCCTGTCCACCAGGGCTGTGCCAGGTGAGTGCTCAGGTATGTGGAGGCGGGACAGCCTGGGAGGGAGCAGGAAGGAGGGGCGCTTCGTTGAGAAGGGAGACGAGAGCCGGCCTCCCTTCTGACAGAGCTTGACAGGGCAGGCGAGGAGGGACTGGAAGGTGGGGACTCCTGGTTCTGGGGGAAGAGGAGAAGGACGCAGATTCCTGAATACTGCACAGGAAAGGCTGGGGGACCTAAACTCTCCGGTCTTGAAAGGTAAGACTGAAGATTGCACCCCAATAGCTAAAGGAAGAATATAGGGTCACAAGGGACTGAGAGATTGGACGAACAGTTCTCTGAGGAGACGTGGGGTTGAAGCCCTCTGGTTCTTAGGGATGAGCAGCTTGGAGCCTAGACTTGGCCCCTGAGAAGATAAGGCTGGGAGACTGGACACTGTGTGGAGGAGGAAGGTGGGGTACACATAGATTACAGAACTGAATGCATGGATTTCTGGAAGGATTTGGGGGCTGGCGTACTAGATGTGAAAGAGGTGGGGCTGGGGGCCTGGAATCCTGGGTCTGAGGGAGGCGGGGCTGAGGGCCCAAACCCCTGGATCTGAGAGAGGAGGGGCTAGGGCCTGGATTCCTGCGTCTGAGGGAGGAGGAGCTGGGCCAGGAATCATAGGTCCAGCAGGTCAAGTCAGGCCCTCATCTCCTTGCTGGCTCCCAGGGCACCTCCAGGTGGCAGGAGCTCCCCACTCTTGGCACCATGAGCACCAGCACCGGGTAAGCGCCCCTGGGCACCAGGCCCCCTAGCCCCACCATCCCTCCCCCACACTCTCACCTGTACCTGCAGGTGGCATTAACGGCCACCCAAGTCTACACACTCAGAAGGAAGCGTGAGCTGCCTCCCTCCCTGTCCAGCCTGTAGTTAGAGCTGCACTCCAGAGCAGACAGACCTGGGTTCAAATCCAGATGCTAACGCTCAGCTATGGTATGACTCTGGCCAAAGGATGTCACCTCTTTGAGCCTCAGTCCCTCCTCTGTGAAACAGGGACAATTCTGAGGACTCGATGGGATAAATCATGCATAGGACTTAGCAGAGAATCTTACTAACAGCAGGTGCTCAACTAATAGGGACTGCTATTTCGATTGTTATCTTATTAAATATTGACCCTTTGCTAAACCGTCAGGGATGTTGATTACGAAGGCTGAAGTCTCCTGGGGTGAGCAGGGAGAAGGACAAAGACAGACACATGGGAACAGCCACACAGGAGAGGTGAGGTAGTAAGGTCTCCAGCCCAGAGGTAATCAAATTGTGGGGAGACCTGACTGGCAAGAACAGGATGAGGAGGAAAGGTTCAACTGAAAGGGTTTCTCATCCCTGACCACACTTGAACTCCAAGCTTCTGCCATTTCTGTGGAAATGGAGACTCAAGGATTCTTGGAGGTGACCTTGAAGAGGAAGTTAAAGGCAGGAGACAAAGAGGATTTGGCTGGGAAGAGCTGGCCTATTGGGGATGGGAAAAGAGACGGTAATTCTCTGTCTACTCTAAAGACTAATGTTATCATAAAAATTCCCATTTATTGAGCAAGCCCTTAGCATCGTCATCATAATAATAACAATTATTGAGGCTGCAAAACACTTCCATTGCATTATCTCATTAAATTTGCCCAACAGCCCTGCCAGATGGAAGCTATAGGATAACTAACCCCTGTCTTACAGAGAGGGACACTGAGGCAGGAGAGATGAAGTCCTATCCTAGGTCTTATGGCAAGGCAGCAGCTGACAGGGGATTTGAACCCAGGTCCATGTGACCGTAGAGACCATACTCCCCACCACCATCCAGCAGCACTGCTTCACCAGTCTTAGCGACATCCAGCTATGCCCTGCCCTCCCCTGCTCAGAACCCGGCATGGCTCCCTCATTCCTTCAAAATGAAGCCGCTGCTCTGCTTGGCATTTGACACCCATGATCTGCTCCCAATTCCCATGGCCCCTCTTACCCCTCTTTTCCTTCACCAGCCCAGAAGCTGCCCCCAAACCAAGTGCCAAGTCCATCTATGGTGAGTTTGGAGCCAAGGAAACCTCAGGTGGAAACAGGATCTGAGGGAGGAAGGGCTGGAAGCCTGGACTTCTGGGTCTGAGGGAGGAGGCTGGGGACCTGGACTCCTAGTCTGAGGGAGGAGGGGATTGGGGCCAGGTCTCTTGGTCTGAGGGAGAAGGTCAGGGTGGGGTCTTCTGGTCCATACCCCCCTCCGTTGTTCCCCTCCTCCCCCACAGAGCAGAGGAAGCGTTACTCCACTGTAGTAATGGCCGACATCTCCCAGTATCCAGTCAATGTGAGTCTGGGGTCTGCAATGGCACAGGGGGTCTTGTGGGAAGAAAGGAGACAGGGGTATTGGAAGCATCTGGACCTCTAAGCAGGAAGAACTTGGGAAACTGTGCTCCTCTGCAAAGTGGACTTCCTCTACCTCGCCTCAGAGGTAGGTGTCGTGGAGGAACTCAATTCCACTTGAATCTGCCAGCTTGTCTTTTGAGCCAGCTTGAGCTGGACAGTCTGGGGACAAATCAGACACAATCCTGGATGAGTAGGGATCACATGAGGTCCAGAGGTAGGGCAAAGGGTACCAGCTGCTCTCATGGAAGTAGAGGTGCTTAAAGGGACTAGATATAATCCAGACCATTCCTTGTTTTCAAGGAGCCTCCAGTCTTGGTGGGAAGACAGATCCAGGTGATAAGTCACTCTGATGAGAGAAACTTAGGGCACTAGGTGGAGGCGCCCATACGTGGAGCAGGTGATCAGGAAGGGCTTCCTGAGGAGGTGTGGTTAGTCACAGGCCGAAAGGCTCATTCCACGGGATTCTAAACCCACCTGGCATCATCCGGGGACTCACTGCTTTCTCCTTGACCCGTGCCAGCACCTGGTTACGTTCTGCCTGGGCGAGGAAGATGGCGTGCACACGGTGGAGGAAGCCTTGCGGAAGCTGGCGGTCATGGACAGCCAGGGCCGCGTCTGGACCCAGGAGATGCTGCTGCGCGTGTCTCCCGACCACGTCACACTGCTCGACCTCGTCTCCAAGGTGCCAGGGGGCACGTGGGTGGATGCAGCTGCTGGACTGAATGGTGGGGGCATGGAGAGCTTGGCCCTAGGGACGTCGGGGGTCTTAGCGTGAATCTTGGCTCCTGCTCGTCCTTCCTTTGGAACATGGCGAGGGACCGCTGCCCCGTTTTTGAGCCCTGTTAGCCCTATCTATTAAACAGGGGTTTGCCCTGCTCGGTGCCTGCACCTGCTGTCACTGCTGTCCGCATGTAGTAGTGTCATTGGTTCTGGGCTTCAGTTTACTCGCCCGCCCCGCAGGAGGAGCTGGAGTTGTACCCGCTGAGCGCCATCGTGCGCTGCGACGCGGTGACGCCGCCGGGCCGGAGTCGTTCGCTGCTGCTGCTCGTGTGCCAGGAGCCCGAGCGCACACAGCCCGACGTGCATTTCTTCCAGGGCCTGCGTCTTGGGGTGAGCGAGCCGGGCTCGGGAGTCAGCGGAGGTTAAGGCTGGGACTCCTCGAACCCAGCGGCGGGGCCTCTAAGGTTGAGGCGTAGCCCGAGACAAAAGCGGGGTCAGAGCCAGCGGAGGGGGCATCACCTGCAAAGACTTTCTGGAAAGGAGAGGACTTTGAGGGTTTTGAGGACAAATTGGACACAGGGTCGAGGTTGAACGTGAGAGCGGAATGGAGACGGAGACTAAGGGCTCCAGAAGAACATATGAGAGGACCTGAGGGGCAGCCAGAACAGAAAGGCATGAGTGTGGTCTAGGAACCAGAAGCCACCCGGACCGGGCCTCCGTGGGTAGGAGTGTGGCCTAGGTCGGGGACAGACGTAGGGCGAAGGTGTCAGCCTAGGGCGTGGACCTGCGTGGGTCTACAGACGTGAGCGATGACTGACCATGGTCTGGGGCGGAGCCAAGAAATTCATCCCTAGCGCGCGGCCAGGTCCGACAGTGGGTGGAGTGGGGGCATGGCCTGACGGCTTGATTGACAGGCGGAGCTTATCCGTGAGGACATCCAAGGGGCTCTGTACGACTACCGCTCCGGCCGTGGGGATCGCAGGGCCGCGGCGCTCAGGTAAGGGGATTGGGTTGGAAGCGAAGGAGAAGAGAGGGTGGGCGGGGTCTCTCTGGGCCTCAGTCTCCCCATCCTAGAAATTGGCTTATACCACTAGCCCAGAGCAAGACGAATTTTGAACGAAGTCAAACAAAACCTGCTTCAAGTCTTACGTGTACCTCCCATACAAGTGTGCCCCCTCCCCAGGACCCTAATTTTCCTGGTTCTGGTACTTGTTTTCTCCTCTCTCGGCCTCTGTTTCCCTCCAGAGAGGCGCTCCTCCCATATTTTGGATTTCTCCTTACCATTCTGAACCTAGATTCAACCCCTTTGGGCCAGTGTCTCCGTTTTAAGTTCGGAATTTTACCCTCCCTGGACCCCTCAACCCACCCGAGTTTCCTCTTCCCCCTACTCAGGGCCACGCAAGAAGAGCTGCAGCGTCGTCCCTCGTCCCCGGCCGAGACCCCGCCCCTGCAGCGCCGCTCCTCAGTCCGCGCAGCGATCAGCACCGTGGAACCGACGATGGGCTGCGGACGACCCCAGGAGGAACCCATTCCCGAGGCAGAAGCAGCGCGGAGGCCCTGCCCGGAGGAGATCTCCGGCAGCGCTGACCAGGCCTCCCCGGACCTGGGCCCCCGCGGCCCAGAGCTAGCCAGTCTGCAGGCGGAGCGGGACGTGGTAAGAGACGGGGCCAGACATCTAGGGGCAGGGCTAGGCTGTGGGCGGGACTGGCTGTGGGGTGTGAGTCCTCCATAAGGGAGTGGGGTTTGGTCTGGCGCCCGGTCAGATGTCTTGGGTGTGACCGGCGGTGACTGAATGGGACAGGACCAGGCATCAGAGGGTGTATGTAACCTAGGAACTCTCGGCTAGAGGACTTCGACAGAGATGATAAGGTTCCGGGACTCAGGGGTCTCATGCGTGCCTTGGCTCTGTCCCCCAGGACATCCTGAACCACTTGTTTGACGACGTGGAGAGCTTTGTATCCAAGCTGCAGAAGTCTGCGGAGGCGGCCCGAGTGCTTGAGCACCGGGAGCGCGGTCGCAGGACCCGGCGCCGGGCGGCTGGGGGTGAGGGGCACCCCCGAGTGGGATCCCGAATACCCACCCCGGTTACTCCCAAATAACCTTCCTCTCCCTAGGGTCTCCCTTCGCACCCCCTGCCAGTTGGACTCCCAATCGCGATCTCACTGAGTCTCTGCCTCTCTCTCTGACACTATCTCCATATCCCCATCACCTTGCTTGCCCCCTTTCCCACAGAGGGCCTCCTGACACTGCGGGCCAAGCCGCCCAACGAGGCCGAGTACACCGACGTGCTTCAGAAAATCAAGTACGCTTTCAGCCTGCTGGTGAGGACACGTCGGGCCCGGGGCATCAAGGGCAGAGGATGGCGAACTTGACTGGTCCACACACTGACGCCAGCCCCTCTCCTGCTCCGCAGGCCCGTTTGCGCGGCAATATCGCCAACCCCTCCTCCCCAGAGCTGCTGCACTTCCTGTTCGGACCTCTGCACGTGGTGAGATTACCTCCCAATCCTCAGGTTCCCCCTGCAGCAGAAGGAATCTGAGTTCCACTTCTAGAGGGTCTGATGGCACGCCCACTCCTGCCCCCTGGCAGATTGTGGACATGTCGGGCGGCCCCCAGCTCGCGAGTGGCGTGCGGCAGCCACATCTGACGTCCGAGGCCGTGGCACTACTGCGGGATAATGTCACCCCAAGTGAAAATGCACTCTGGACCTCTCTGGGGGATTCGTGGACCCGGCCAGGGTGAGGGGCGTGGCGATTGAGGGACGGGGCAGGAGAAAGCAGGGGCGTGGTGATTGGTAGAAGGCGGGACTGGAAGGATTAGAGGCGGGGCTTAGGCCGGAGGGTGCGGCCAATGAAAATGGGTGGGACCTAGGACAAATTCCAGCTTCCGACTGGAGAAATCGCCAGAAATTAGCGTGAAGGGGAGGTTTAAGACTGAATCACGACCAAAAGAAACAAAGGGCGGGTTTTAGGGAAAGTTTGGCCTGTATGTTTGGAAAGGGGGCAGAGTCTGTGCTCTCGGAGACAGCCTCGAGCGGGTAGGGGCAGAGCCAGGGAAGAATGCGTGTAGCTAGAAAACGGGTTTGGAATCAAAGGTGAGATTCAATCAGAGGCTGGGGGGGAGCATTAGATTGGAATCAGTGTATTTAGAAATATAACCGATGTCATGGGTGTAGTTTAGGCAGGGGCAGGGTTTGCCGAAAAGGGGTGAAGATAGAATAGCTGGCATAGGGTAAAGCTTAGGGAAAGGGGAAAAGTGAAGTTAATGACAGGGTTAAGTCGGGGGCTGGACCAGGATTCCTGAGCCCTCCGCCCCGTCCTTGGTCGCAGGGTGGAGCTGCCCCTGGAGGAGGGACCCCCATACAGCCCCGAGTTCTACAGCGGCTGGGAACCCCCAGCCACTGACCCGCAGGGCCGCCCCTGGGAGGACCCAGTAGAGAAACAGCTACAGCACGAGCGGCGGCGCCGGCAGGTGAGGCTAAGGCTTCAAGGGGACAGCAAATTCCTCCAGGCTAACACAGAGGGGACCAAGGAGTCCAGACTCAGGTTAGCCCCACCTGACCTGGTATCCTCTATGTCCTACAGCAAAGCGCCCCCCAGGTCGCTGTCAATGGGTGAGTGTGGGCCCCCGGGTGGGGATATGTGGGGTACGTCCTGGGGGTTCCAGACTCTAACTCTGCCCCACTTTTTTCTTTTTCCTTCTGTCTTCCGGGTTCTACGCAGGTGGGTGAGGTGGTGAGGAGGCGGGGCGGGGCTGGGAGGGGGAAGAAGGGAGTGAGGGGGCGGAGCTCAGACTTCTGGGTCCACGGGAGGAGGGGGCTGGAGGTCCAGATCCCAGGGTCTGAGGGAGGAGTGGGCCGGGTGTGAGTAATATCTGAGAGGTTGTTTCCCTGGGTCCTCAAAGGGCTGGAAAAAGGCTGTTTGCTAAGAGTCTGGGAAGTTCTCTCCCCAGGTCCCCCCCAGGACAGAGCCCTCGGAGTTGTAGGGAAGAGGTTAGGGAATGGAATGTTTAGGTATTGAAGAAGAGCTCAAGTCTGATGCTTGGAACATGGGAGAGCCAGAAAAGCGGGCTTGGGGCTTTCGGGGCCGCCAGGCAGGTTTCCTGGCCGCCAGACAGGTTTCCGGGCGGGTTAGGGAGTGGTAGAGATGCTGGGCCCCTGAAAGAGGCTGGCAAGCTGGACCCTCACTTTCCCAAGGCTCTAAAGCAATTGTCTCAACCTCTGCTGGGTGTCAGACAGGGAACCTCTAAGGGTTAAGAGGATGAGGAAGTTAAAGCTTGGGACTTAGACTCCTAGGTCTCTGGGGAAGGAAAGATCTGGGGGTCCAAGTTTATGGTTCATGGTTCCAACAAGCAATGGAGGCAGACTCTTGGGTTCTGGGGAAATAAGGGGAGAAAGGAGCCAGAACACTAGGGTCTCTGGGCAAGTAAGGGCCGGATAGGAGAGAAGCCACCTGGGATGAGAAGAAACCAAGGAGCAAGGTTGGAGGGGCAGAAAAGGGGTCTGAGCGAGGGCCAGAGCAGAGGGTCGCAGCAGGAACAGTGTGCTGGGAGCTGCCAGCCCCACAGAGGGGGTGCTGCGGCCCTGAAGACCCCCCCTCTCCCTTGCACAGGTAGGCCTGATCTGAGCTGAGGTCCCTCTTGCTGGGGGGTCAGATCCCAAATCCCACTCCCCTCCCCCCAGATGCCTGGTCTCACGGAAACCCCTCCCTTCCCCATCCCACCCTCCATGCTTCTGAATCTTGGGCTTGACAACCCCAGCTTTTGAGTGCCTTGGAGAGAAAATGAGAAAAATAATAACCCCTTCCTGGGAGAATGAGAAGTCTGTGAAGTTAAGAGCTCAAGGAAGTGGCAGAGCTCAGGTTCATGTCCAGTTGCCTGAACAGGACAGCAGAATTGCTCAGGACATGGGTTCTGGGGCCAGGCTGCCTGGGTTCCAGGTCAGCTATGCCTCTTTCTTGCTCTGAGACCCTTACATCACCAGGTCACTTTATATCACTATTCCTCCACTTCCTCATCTGTAAAATGGAGCTAATTATAGGGACTCTGGGAGGAAGAAGAAAAGGGGGGTCCAAATTCATGGTTTTACCAGTGGCTGTCTCAAGAATCAAATCAGCTAATATATGTAATAGGCTGAACAGTGCCTGGCACGTGCTGTATAAGTACTGACTATTGTTTTTATTATTACTATGGGTTATTGTTAATCATGAGCCGAGTACATAGTAGATGCTCAATAAATAGCAGCTGTCTCTGGCTGTGTGATCTGGGGCAATGATTTTATCTCTCTAAACTTGAATGTTCTCATCTATAAAATGAAGGTGATGCCATCACCCACATCACAGGCTTACAGCACAGTGCCAGGCATATAAGCAGCAAAATATATTCAAGCTGCTATTCCAGTTTCATATCTCTATTATCAGTACTAACTCGGCCCCCTGCCTTGGCCCCTGCTTGGCTCTAACCCCAGCTCACACCAACACCCTACAGCCAAAAAGAGTGGGGCTGGCTGCCACCTGTCCCCAACCCTGCCCTTTCTCCTCAGTCACCAAGACCTGGAGAAAGAAGCTGAGCCCCACACGGAGCCGGAGCTAGCAGGGAAATGGGTCCTATGTAATTATGATTTCCAGGCCCGAAATAGCAGTGAACTATCAGTCAAGCAACGGGACGTGTTGGAGGTTAGACGGGTGGAGGGCTGATGGACTGGAGTGGATCCAGCCCTAGCTGCGGACACAGGCTCTGAACCATCCCCTTGTACTTCCCTTAGGTCCTGGATGACAAGCGCAAGTGGTGGAAGGTTCGGGACTCTCAAGGGCAGGAGGGATACGTACCTTATAATATCCTGACAACCCACCCGGGGCTCCCGGGGGACCGCAGCCAAAGCCCTGCCCGCATTCTGGTGAGCCAGGGTGGACTCTGGGTCTCGAGGGACAATATGCTGGGGGCCAGATCTTGATCCTGGGAACCAGGAGTGCGGGAATCAGGTGTCAAAGTCAAAGGTACTGGCAGAGGAGATGGTTGGGGATTCAGAAACTTAACCTCTATAAGAGGGGCTGGGACTCTGAGTCCTCTCTCTGATCCAGGTGCTCTCCTCTCTGTCCCCTCTAGAATAGCACTCCCCCACCCCCGCCGGCCACGGCCCTAGCTGTGGCTCCTACCCGGGCTCAGCCCCACTGGGACAGCTGCGACAGCCTCAACAGCTTGGACCCCAGCGAGAAGGGTGAGTGTGGGGGCACTCTTTCAGGGAAGCGGTTCTTGCCCTCGCCTTCCAGGCAGGGAAACCGAGGCCAGAAAAGTGCAGATGGACCTAGGCCCGTCACGAGGACCCTTCCTTATCTCCCGCCCACAGAAAGATTCTGCCAGATGCTCAGTGTCAACGAAGAGCTGCAGGCGCGCCTGGCCCAGGGTCGTTCGGTCCCCAGCCGCACAGCCCCAGGGCCCCGCATCCCGGAGCCGCAGCTCAGCCCGCGTTCAGATGCCTCAGAGGTCCGCGCCTGGCTGCAAGCCAAGGGTTTTAGCGCCAGGTGAGTGGTACGTGCCGACTGCGATCATGAGATATGAGCGCTAGAGACGGAGCGTTCTGATTGGCCCAGAGGAAGGCGTAGCAGACCACAAGGAACCAAGATTGGCCTAGACTGAGGGTGTGTCTGGTTGCAACAATGAATGACTGGCTGAGATGGGCATGTCTTCCCAGGCTCCGATTTGGGGAGTCTTCAGAAAAGTCCCTATGGCGCACTGTAATTGGTGGGTGGGGATTCAGGATCCTTCAGCAGCTCCCTGTCCCTGCTTGAGCTAGAATGCTGCTGATGGGACAAACCACTAGGTGGGCATGAAGTGATGGGGAGGGGCTTGGTGGGGACGATTGGCCGGCAGACCTGACCAGACCTGACCGCGCCTCCGCCGCCCTCGCACAGGACAGTGGACGCGCTGGGCGTGCTGACCGGAGCGCAGATTTTCTCGCTGCAGAAAGAGGAGTTCCGGACGGTGAGCCCCCAGGAGGGGGCGCGTGTGTACAGCCAGGTCACGGTGCAGCGTGCACTGCTGGAGGTGAGCTGGGCAGCTCAGCCCTGGGCCCAGGCCAAGGAGGGAGCCCAGGCTCGGATGCCAGTGTCCTAAATTCCACCCCGTCCTCCAGGATAAAGGGAAAGTGTCAGAGCTGGAGGTGGTGATGGAGAAGCAAAAGAAGAAGGTGGAAGGTGAGATGGAAACAGAGGTCATTTGACCCTTGCCAGCCCTCCGCTACAAGTTTCCACGTAGTGGGTCTCCCCGTGCCCCATGGGAGAAAGGACTCTGCAGCCCCCACCAGTGGAAGTAGACCCCTCGAAGGATCGCTGACCTGTTCCGGCCCTGGTTTTCCCCTGTCCTTCCTAGAGTTTACTGAGCAAGCACTGTGCTCGTCAACCGGCCAAGAGCGGGAGGGGGGGAAGTGAAGAGAAAATTTAGGGACTCCACTTTGCTGCGCACCCCAGGAGAGGGCGCACTCGGGAGCCCTGTGCATTGTGATATGTGGCCCAGTCTATAAACAGCCTCTTCTTAGCAGGCAGTGTCAACTGTTGTCCCTTCTCTACTCAGCTACCAGGGGTCTCAGGGACCTGCTTGCCCCAGCTACAGCTTCATAGGAGAAAAGGAATGTAGGAGCCATCTCCACTTTTTTTAGTTTCCTTCTCTAAACCCTGCTCTCCTTCCCTGGGGTCCCAATCCAGACTTCTGCCTGACCTCCAGCCTTAAGTTCACCCAGAACAATCTTCTGAACACTCAGTATCCCAACCCTTCCCTTGCTCAAAATCCTTTTCTGGTTCTTCATTGCCCCCCTAGCCCTGTAGTATGGCTCTCAAGGCCCTGAGTGGTTTGGTCCCTACCCACCTCTCCAACCTCATCCTTTACCTCCTCACTATTCCATGCATTCTGCTTCTGCCCTTCTCCAAACACTCCCCAAACCCCTTCAACCACCCAAGATTTTGGATTTGGTTTCTGCTGGCTGGACCAGCGACTTTCTGCCTGAACTCCTATTCAGCATTCCACGCCCAGCTCAAATACCCACTTAAGGGAAACCCGCTCTCTTCCTCCAGGTTAGTCTCCCAGAATCCACCACTTTGTCCCCTACTTCTTGCCAGGGGTCCAGCCACAGAGAAGTAGTTGTGTCCTGAACATACCACAGGCTTTCTGGCTAGTCTTCCTGTGAGACGACAGTCTACCAGGAAGCTTCCTACCTCCTCAAGCTCCTTTTTCCTCTGGCTAGCCAGCAGCTCCTTCCCATTATCTGGGTGGCTGGCAAGTCTAGTTCAGAACTGATTTGCTCTGGCTCTCAGCCTCGTTCAGACTGGACGTTCCTCCAGCTTAGAAAAGGACGTTCCTCCTTCCTTGGCTCCTTCTGCTTCCCCACAATGCCCACTGCCAAGCTCCCCTGCCAGAAGGCCTGCTAGCCTCTCCCCTGGAGCTCAGCTTCTACCTGGACCAGTTGGCATCCTCCAAAATCAGACAAGTCAGAGGCACAGCCATGTACTGGGAGGAACCATGATTCTCAGTCCCTACTTCCTTCTGCAACCCGGGTACATCAGCCCTCCAAGACTTCTTCCCACCTCGAACCACCCTGCTCACACAACCTCCTTTGGCTCCCTATGGCCCATCAGATAAAATCTAAGCTCTAGCTTAGCGGCAAGAGGCCTGTGGCCAGCTAGGTTCACCAGCTTCTCAGGCCCAGCATTCTGCTTGCCTCTTCCTGCCGCCAAACTTGGTTCATGCTGTTCCATCCACCCAGAAGACCCTCAGCCCTTATGGGTATCTAATCACCATTCAACCTCTTGTCTGGTGCCCCAGCCATCAGTTCTAAGAGGGGCAAGCGGATCCCCAAGCCTGCTTGCTCCACAGTTTTCCCTCAATAACCCCCCTTGCAAGGCTGCAAACTGGAATGACTGCAGGAGCCAGACAGTTGGCCCACATGAGCACACTGGGTCCAAGCCCCATTCCTATCACAATCCAACCTATCAAGACACCCTGGCAGCTGCCCCTCCAATATTCCCAGAATTTGACCATTTCTCACCATCTCTACCACCATCCCCCAGATCCATCACCTCTTGTTGGGACTGCAGCAGTAACCCCTTAGTTAGTCTTCCTGTTTCTGTCCCTCAGTGCTACCCCCCAGACTCTTCTCAACGCTGCAGCCAGAGGGACCTGTTAAAACCTAGGTTCTCCTTCATAGCCCATTACCTTTCCAACCCCACCCCCATTGCTTCTCTCCAGCCACATCAGCTACTTCCTCTGCCTCACCACGTCAGGCACACTTCTACCTCAAGGCCTTCGCACATGCCATTCTCATCAAGACTCATCCCTCAAATACCTACATGACTCAATTCCTCAGACCCTCAAATGTCTGCCTGTGCCAGCCTACGAGGCGTGCTCTGACCACCCTATACAAAATGCACACATACACACACACCAGCTTCCTTCTCCCCTTCCCCTGCTTTTCCTCCACAGCACCACCACCTAAAATACTTTCATTTTATCATTGGATGACTTATGCCTCTCCCCCTAAAATGTACTGGATCTTTGCCTGTTTCATTCACTACTATATCACCAACTGGTAGAATAGGGCCTGGCAAGTAGAATATGACCAAGAATGAATGAATGAACAAATTGAATGAATGAATGAATGACCCATCTTAGTAGATGGGTCTTACTCAGCTCCAGCCAACTGTTACCATATAGGACTGAAGAGCTCACACCATCACAGCTTCCTTTTTTTCCTGGGAAGTCAAATTCCAGATTTTTCTATGTGAATTACCCAAATTTTAAATATTGTCAATTGACTGTTTCAAAAACACTGATGACAAGACCCAAGCTCCCCAGCTCAATATTGAGACCCATTGTCTCACCTGGCTGACCCTTCTTCCCCATCCTAAGCCACCTCCCTTCTGTCCATGTCAGCCCTGGCCTGGGTCCTCTACTCCAACTAGCCACTATTCCTGAAGCCCCTCCACACCCTGAGCATGTGCCTACCCATTCCTCAGCACCCCACCCACACGGTCCTATGGTTTGGTCACTGACAGCAAAGCACAAGAGCAGCACCCCACCTCCAGCACCGAACATGGTCACTGAGTGGCAACTTCACGACTTTTATTTGTGGTGCCTGTGCTTTGTCTCAAAAATACCTTCTCCCCCTGCCCCGGAGGGTGGGCGGGGAGGGGGCAGCAAAAAATAGAAGACGTCCCTCCCTATTGCACATGGACCCTATATACAGGCCCACCTGGCCGAGGCCAGCAGGACTCTTGGCACATTCTCGGATCCCTGTTCAGGAGTGGGAGGGGTGACTGGGTGGCATCGCACGTGAGAGGGGACCTCCGGACAGCCACTCTGGTCCTAGCATTCCCTGGTCCTTGGTTCCTTACTGGTTCCACCTCCAGCACTGGTCCCCCCTCAGCAATGTCCCCCTACCTGGCTCAGCCTCCCACCTCCATCCTGACCGTGGATGGCCCCCCTTGGCTCCTGGGGACTCTGTCCTCCCCTCCCAGTCTGGAAGTCCCGAGGGGAGGTTATGGCTTCTCAGAGATTCCCCTGGGAGCCCTGTCACTCATGTTCGCGCAGGGGAAGGGGTGCGTGTGGCAGAAGCAGCTGTATAAATGCAGGTGTGGGGAAGGCCTGCCGGAGTCACTTGGAGAGTTTGCTGATGACACGGATCAGGGCCGCGTTCTCATCCTTGAGCCGCTGGTTGTCAGCCCGGAGGTTGGACAGGGCCTGTGGGATGGGATGGGGTCAAGCTGCTGGCCCTGGGCAGGCAGAGCCCACAACCCACAGTGCCTGTGCGTGTTCACCTTCAGCTCCTCCTCCAGCTCAGCCGCCTTTCGCTCCAGGGCCCTGCGCTCCTGCAATACATGGGGGAAGGTGAGGGCGAGAGACTGGAGGTCAGGGAGGGCCAGAGCTTGAGCAGGGCTGAGGAAGGTGGGGAAGTTCATAGGGCCAGGTCAGAAGGTCGGTACGGCCCCTTCATCCAGACCTGCCTCTGCTTGAAAGGCTGGGGAAACATGTGGCCCCACCCCAGCTGCCCCACTCACAAATCTCTCCAGCTCCAGAAGGGCAGGCCTCTCTGCAAAACGCTCCTGCCTCTGATGGGGACAGAATAAGAGCAGGGGTCACAGAAATATCCAAACCGCAACGGCCAGGAAGGGGAAAGCAACAGTGAGGCGGGAAAGAAGGCAGCCTCACTGGGCAGCCCACTGCTCGACAGGCTCCGCTCATTGCCGACCTGGCCCCGCCCCAGGGCCTGCCCCATCCCTTAGGCCCTCCCCTTCAGCAGAACAGAGCCCCCTGCCCCTCCCTGCTCAGGCCCCCACCCCAGGAGTCCTTGCCCCGCCCCTTCCGGTGGCTCCTTCCTCACGAGTCCCGCACAGGGATGCCAGGGGCCACCTGCAGGCCTTCACCTGCGTGGCGCGCTCCAGCTCCACCTTGAGCTGTGCCAGCCGCAGTGTAGTCTCAGTCAGGGCCTCGCGAAGTCTCTCGTTCTCACTGCGCAGCTCTGCGTAGAGCTGGGGGCACCAGGAGGAGGGACCCAGGATCAGGCCTACCAGCTCTGCTGCTGGAGGGGAGAAGGGGCCAACTGCACCCAGGTGAGGTCAGGTTAGGCGGTGAGAGCAGGATGCGAGGGACCCGGCAGGCAGAGCCACTGACAGGGGCAGTAGGACAGGTGTGTAAAGGTGGATTTGTGGGGATGGGTAACAGCGCCCACCGTGGGGTGGGATCTCAAACCTTCCTGAAGCCTCCGTCAGGCTCTTCCGCTTCTGGATGGGGTTCTGGGTTGAGGTCCCGCTGCCTGCGAGATGAGGGGCCACCCTTGGTAGTGCTGGAGTGGAGGCAGAGCCGCTGTCACAGGGCGTGCCCCGCAGGCCTGGACAGCCCACAACCTTCCCTGCCCTCCCTGGTACCTGGATTCTGGGCTGATGTCTGCCAGTTCCGGCTCTTCCCCCTGCGGGCAGGTTGGGGTTCAGTGAATGCCCGAAGGGGAGTTTGGCCCCACTCCCATGGCCCCTCCTAAGCCCACCCACAATTCCAGCTGCCTCCCTCACCTCTGCCGGCCCCCTCCACTCCTTGCCAACTCTGCGGTGCTCCCTGGTGGCCTGTGATCTGTGACCCTGCCCGTCAGGCGCCTCTCCTGAGGTACAAACAGGAATCAGGAATCCCCTCTATGTGGTGTCAGGGTCCCTGGGCCCAAGACCCTAGGACAACAGGAAGACAGCAGCCGGAAGGAGCGGGTGGGCTTAGGAGGATGACCTCCCAGAGACCAGACCTCACCTCTCTGGGAAGGGCCAGCAGAGTTCTCAACCCCAGGGACTTGGAGCCACCGGGGAGGATCCTGTGGGAGAGGGACATGGGGTGAGAGGAGGATGGCATCTTGTACCACCCACTGCCCAGTCACCTGACCTTCACCACCTCTCACCAGGCTCTGTGGACATGACTTCTCTGGTTCTGGGGCCTTCCCTGCAGCCTTCTCTGCTTCTTTCAGGTCTGTCAGAGTCACACCCTGCAGGGAGAGGGGGCAGTCAGGGACTCTGGGCCTCAGGGCCCAGCCCCTTCAGGCCCCCAGCCACCTCCTTCAGACCCAGGAGTCTAGGCCCCAGCCTCCTCCCTCAGACCCAGAAGTCTGGGCCCCCAGCTCCTCTTCCCTCAGACCAGGAGTCCAGGCCCCCATCCCACCCCCCACACCTGCGTGGACCTCCGAGACTGGCGCATGAGACGAGAGCGAGCTTTCCGCTGGGATTCAGACTCCTCATCACGCACAGGCATCTGGTAGGACCTGAGTGAAGGACCCCAACCTCAGGAAGGGTTCCTTTGAGCCCTGTCCCCATCCCATGGCTGATACCCTTGGGAGAGGCACGTTCCTTGAGAAGACTTCAACTCCAGCAGACCCTGAGACAAACTCGCCCTCGGGAGCTCCCACCCAAAGCCCTAGGCCTTCTGGGTAATACAGTTTTCTCCCAGCTGGGGACAGAGGATTCCAAGGGGCTCTTCACCTCCGGCGGTCCCGGGAGTCCACTGCCGGCGCTGCAGGGGCCGCAGGGGCTGCAGGGACAGTTGGCTTCCCTGGGGATTCGGGCTCCGGAATCCTGGAGGGAGGAGTAGAATTATCCAAAGGGGGAGGCCTGGACCTCTCACACCCGTGTGAATTCATTCATTCAGCAAATGTTACTCAAGCTCGCATTATGTGGCAGGCACCGGAGACGCAGCAGTGAGCAAAAGAAACAAATGACCACTGCCCGATGAGTCAAATCTGAGCAGAAAGGATGCAAAATAAACAATAACCAAAAAAAAGGTTAGTCGGTCACAGGATACGTCGGCAGGATAAAACACACTGGAGAAAAGAAACAGAGTGAAGACTGGAGACAGGATGGTGTGTGTGTCTGGACGCTTCTGCAGTATGAGCAGGTGGTCACGGTGGGCCTCCCAGAGAAGGTGACATGAACTGAGAGGGAGCCCTGTGGGTGTGAGAGGAGGGCCTTGAGCAAAGGTCCCGGGACAGGAGTGTGCACATGTCAGAGAGGGAAGGATGGGAGCCAGGGAGAAAGGCAATAGGAGGCCAGGTCACTATAGCTTTGCAAGTTTTACCGTGAGCTCTAACTTAACATAGAAAAAAGAAAAAAAGGCAAAGTGCCAGGGAGCAGGGATCAGACTCCAGAGAACAGATAGACATGTTGAGGGTCACGCTGACAAGGTTGGAAGCCAGACCTGCCTCCCACCCTAGAGTGGCCCAGGCCTCTGGTACTCACAGGGAAGAGGGCTCCAGCACCTTCCGGGAGGGGGTAGGGGTAATTCTGGCAAGACGGGGCTCTTTGGCCTGTGGAAAGATGGGAGGAGGGGGTATTCTCCTCGACTAGTCAGGGTCTGGTCCCCTGCCCCTCACCCCACTCACCTGAGTGGAGGTCCCTTCCAGCCACGAGGAGGAAGCTGAGCGCTGCAGCCCGGCCCCAAGGGTGCCTTCAGCTCCTCGCATATCTGCGGGGCCCAAGGCACCAGCGCTCCCTGTCTTCTGGAGGCCAAAGTGCCTAGAGAAGGGGGCCTTCTCGAGAGTCTGGCAGAAGAGAAAGGTCTCAGCTATGGAGAAGGGGCCCTTTTTGCCCATAGATTCCATGTGTTACCCTAGAAGGACCACAGCAAACTACAGTTTTCATCAGCCCCAGGGCAGCCCCAGGGGCAGGTGCAGCCAGAAAAAGGTAGTTACCCTGGAGGATTCTGGAATCTATAGTCTTCACCCTATCCACCCTGACAAGAAGTTTACAGGATTCACAGTATACCTCCCACTCCCAAAACTGGCATGGCCTCCGGGGCATCCAGACTCACCACAGGGCCTTCAGGGTTAGGGGGTGGCAAGGAGGATACTCCATTGAGGGTTCTAGATTCTGCAGGGGTTGGCTCTATCGGGTAAGAAGATAGGAACGGTTACAAGAATATACCAGCTGCTTCTGAGAACCAGCCCCTCCACCCTCAGATCCAGGAGTCCCAGCCCCCAGCCCCTCACCGGAGGAGCCTTCCTCTCCGTCATCATCGTCCTGGATGGGGGGTCCCCCAGACCCCCCAGGCCGGCGCTCCTTGGACAAGTCCTGGAGGGAGATCTTCTCTCGGCTGCTCAGACGACACACAGAGCTCCTGGTGAGGAAGAGAAAGGTGACGGGATCCGATCCCTGGAAGCCTCCAGCCCACGCCTCTGGGCACCTCCCATACCTTCGGTGTTTGCTGCTGGAGGACCCCTGAGGCTCCTGGGCCCTGCTCTGGGAGGCTGCCTTCTGGTTCCGAAGCTGCAGAGCAAAGGGGGCTGCTGGGGAAGGGCAGGACATGGGGGTCCCTCCTGGGTCCCATGTCCCCAACATGAAGGACCACCCTGTGCAGCTGTGCCAGATGTGGCTTCGTGGTGCTCCGACCATAGGGAGCTCAGTCCAGGGCAGCATGTAGGGTTTGTGGTCTCGTCAGGTTCTACAGATGGCCAGGCAGGATCAGCAGGAGGCACCCTTGGTCTCAGGTGCATGTGCATTATATGTCCTCACTGTCATCCTGTTCCTACTGGGCCTCTCGCTTCCTAGGCTCTGCTCTCATCCCCTACTTCCCAGCGGTGACCCTCTCAAACCTCCCTGACCCCTCACACCCGGACATAGCCCTGGCCAGACCCAGCCTTCCCCAAGCTCACACCACAAATCCATGGCAGAGCCTAAGTCCACACCAGTTTTCCAGCAACAAAGCCTGGCCCAGTGCTAGCTGGGGGGCATCCCAGGGGTGATGAGGCCTCGCCAAAGCCTTGGCAGACCCTGTCCACATCCCGAGGTCTATCTGGACCCCAGGCCCTGCCTCCTGAGTCTGTCCACTCTGTCCTCCCCATAGTCCCCTCTGGTCTCAGTCACTGGTGGGGAGCAGCACATCCCTGGGCAGTGGGCATCAGGCAGTCAGGGAGTGCAGGGGATAAGAAGCTCTCCCTCCCTGGCCTCCCAGGAGCTGACAGGAGGGGAAGGGGCCCAAGACTCACATCCTCCTGCTTCTGGGCCAGCTCTTCCAACAGGCTCAGCACCTCCTCATCAGCCAGGTCACAGGGACGCTGCCCCTATGGGGGAGGTGAAAAGGGGTGGATGGTGAAGGAGGTATAGGGCCCTCCCCACGACCCAATCCCACCAGTCCTGGGGCCCCAGGGCCTCACCGCATGAGTCAGCGAGTCCATGCCGCCACCATGCTCAGCCAGAAGGCGACAGGCATCCTCCACGCCCCAGTGGGCAGCCGCATGCAGAGGGGTCCAGCCATCCCCATCTCGGAGCTCAGGGTCATAGCCGGCCTGGAGGAGCAGCCTGGAGGCCGAAGAGGCTTGGGGTCAAGGGCCAGGACAGGGATTATGGGTCAAGAGCTGTGGCAGCCAGCCAGGCAGTGGTAACAGTACCAGCTGTGACAATGCCAAACCATCTATCCTGGGCTGGGTGATAAAAAGACCACTGTGCAGAGGCCTTCCCCACAAGTGACCCTCTGCTACAGGCTTTCATCCCACCCCTGGACCAACAGGTAGCATCGGGAAGCCTGCTCCTTGTACCCACAAGTGGGGGTGGGGACCCTAAAGCCTATGAAAAGGATGCAACTCAGAAGGGGTGGCCAGGGCAGCAGTGCCCCAGGAACCTGCGGGCTCAGTGTGCTGGTTCTCAGAGGGAGCAACACCACCCCAGGGAACACCTGGCTATCTGGAGACATTTCTGGCTGTCACAGCTGACGGCTCTGCCAACATCTAGCATGTTGCTGCCAGGAAAGCCGCTAGCCATTCTGCAGTGCAGGGGACAGCCCCACAGCAAAGGGTGACCTGGTCCAAATGCCACCAGTGCCAAGGCTCAGACCCTGGCTTAGACAGTCTTCCTCAGGTCACAGTCACCCCCTTAAACCACATGATTGGGGGGAAAGTGGGGCTATGAGTCCAGGGCAGTTCCACAAACTTGGCTTAGGGCAGCACGCCTGTCATAGTGAATTGGCCTTAGGCTGCGTCCACGGGCAACGGCAAAAGCAACGCGGGAAAAGATGGAGAGACAAGGCAGTTTAAAAAGAACCTTTTTCAACAAAAGGTCCTCTGTGTGGCCCTGCTGACCTAGTCACTCACCTGCTCCCTGAGTTTCCTGGTCTCCTACCCTGCCGGGTAGGTGTCCCACCATTTCCCCAAGGGTGACCCACCTCAGGCCCATACTTGCTGTTCTCTTCCTGGTGTTTTTGGGGTGTCAAAGGTCGTAGCCAGCTGGAATTTGTTGAGGTTTGCTCGGGGAGGTGTTTCACACAGCCACTCCTTAACAGGCACACCTCTGGCCTGATCATTTAGAGTACCCCATCCTCCTTGCCACAAGGATCAACTCTAGGACAGGCAGGTGCCCAAGGTAGCCCACTGAACACTAGATCCAGGACTAGGTACTCCACTCCAGGAGTAGTTATGAGCAGCTGAAACACGAGACTGGAGCTGTTAGGGCCCTCTTAGGTAGCACACTGGACAATCTGCCTCAGGGTGCAACATGGAGGCAGGTAGAGATGGAGAGATTCGTCTTAACTCCACATTCATACTAAAAATAAAGTATAGTGTCACAAAAGAAAAAGGGGAGAATTAAAGAGAGAGCAGGGAGCCAGAGGACAAGAACTGAAACCCATTGCTCCAAGAGAAGGGGATGGGGCAGCCAAGTGTGACAAGACCGAGGTGGGTGACAGAAAGGGGGTACACTGTAACAATTTAATCCAAACGACCTAGCCTCAAAATACGTAACACAGAAATTGATAAAACTACAAGGATGAACAGGCAAAACCCACAACCATGAGTTTTTTATCACAGCTTACAGTAACTGACAATAAGCGGATAGAAAGAAATCGCTAAGGGCAAAGAATTAGAGAGCGTGACTACAAAGCTCACCTGACAACCTGCATAGTGCAACATACCCCATGATATAATTCTTTTCCAGTTTATTTACACTGAAGTATAAAATAGAGCAAACCTCAACAAATTTCAGAAATCTAGAATTCTACAGATCCCATTCTCTGACCCCAGTGCAATTAAGCCAGGAAATGGGTAATGAAACAACTAGGAAATCCCAGATTTGGAAATTAAGGACATACTTCAAAATAACCCATGGGTCAAAGAAGAAAGACTACACATTGGAAAACATTTTAAATCGAATGAAAAGCCTATATACATCAAGACTTGTGAGAGCAGCTAAGGCTGTATTTGGAGGCAAATACACAGACTTGGATACATACATTAGGAAAAGACAGAAATGGACAAAATCCACAGGAAGGTATAAGACAATGAGAAGAAACAGACTGGCCCCACACAAAGAACAGGGGACAGGGAGTGTCGACACTGGCCCAGCTCACCTCATCACTTCAATGTAGCCTTTAGCGGCAGCCACGTGAAGAGCAGAGGCTCCTGTGCGGGGATGCCGGGCCTCGGGCATGGCGCCCCCATTCAGCCAGCACCTTGTGTCATGAAGTAGCAATTCCTCCTCAGCCCGTTTGGCTGCCTCCACATCCACACCTGGGAGAATGGGTGACAGGTGGGACTCACACCCCAAGGTACAGGAAGCACAGCTTTGCCCTGTGCCTTGCCCCATCCCTCTCCATCTGTGTGTTCCTCTGGGACTCAGAAGGCCTGGACCAGCTTGGTGACTTCCCGGGAACCCATGCTCTGTGCAGTGCGGGGTTCCATTAGGGGTCTCTGAGTCACTGCTGGGGGCTGTGAGAATAAAGATCGCTGACTTTTCCCATTCCAACCAAAGTATCACCTTTATTGTTAAGTATAAAACCCAGTTGATTGAGCAAATCCAGTGTCTGACTACATCTAACTCTTCCTGTCGCTACCAATACAATCCTTAGCACACCTTCCTCGTGCATTTTGTCACCATGAGTAGGGTAAACTAAGCAAGAAGCCACTTAGCAGTTTCTATGTCTGTCTGCCCCAAAAGTGAGCCCTGGTCATAGCTGTGCTACCACCGAGACCAATCAACTTCTGCCTTAGTCAACTTCATTGTACCCAACTGGCTTCATGGGAAGCTGGACTGCACTTACTGATGCAAAAGGTAAGTTATAACTTGAAATTACATGAGAACAGATTTGGGATCAAAACGGCCTTGTGGAGGTGGGACTATTACCTGTGGCCTGTGACCGAGAATCTGTATTCTTTCGCCTTTTAAACTACTGAGACAAGAATCAAAAATGGTCTTTTCTAAGAAAGTTCAATCTCTCCTGGGAAGTTTTTGTCTATTATCATTTCAATTGTGAAATTTCTCACAGTTGCCAAAATGCCAGGTGGAGCTGAGCTGTCCTGCACAACAACCATCAGTCACACGTGGCCACACCAAGCACTTGAATCATAGCCAGTCCGAATTGAGATGTCACAAATGTAAAACACATGCTGAAGTAAAACAAAAAAAGTGCGCGATAATTCATGAACAGTTGTTTTTAATATTGATTGAAATGTTTTGAATATACTGGGTTAAATAAAATGTTACTGAAGTTAATTTCACCTTTCTTTTCACTTTTTTAAATGCACCTGCTTGAAATTTTTCAATTACACTTGGGGCTCATGTTGGCTTTACACTGGACCACAGTGGCAAAGAACCCCATTTACCATCACCTAGCTTAAACAATTAAAATGACAAAGACACCAGAAGCCTCCTACACGTCCCTCGCTGATCTTGTCTGGCTCCCTGAGATCCCTGAGCTAAACACCATCACGAATTAGCTTTCATGAGCATGTACTATTACATCCTTACCACATATAGTCAACTTCTGCCCTAAGGCTGTATGTGGGAGTCCCAAAAACAGTCCCCCTGCCATCCCTGCTTGAAGACCAAATCCATCCAAGTCCAGGCTTTGCACTGGCGCCACCTGGTGCCATGGTACATGGGCATCACCTTCGGGTTTCCTGGCTTGCTGGACTGGACAGTGGCAGCTATTCCAGGAACATCTCACTGCTTAGGCCCATCTTGCGGCCCAGTCTGGGGTGGAGACTTCTGGAGAGTGCTGGGGATGCAGGGACCCACCCTCTCCCTCCCATTCTGCCACTTCCTTAAAAGGAGTCACCTACATCATATCCCATTACAGGTGAAGGCACCTGACTTCAAGGAGGGGAGGGGCCAAGTTGACTGACTTGATTCAGCAACCACTGGAAGTGCTGTCTTCTTTTGCACATCCATGTGCATCCTTCTCAAATGTGCTTTTTGTGGAGATGTGCCCATGTCTATGGACAGAGCTTTTGACTGGAGCCAGCAAACTGCAGTCTGGGGGTGCAGGCCACACGTCTGGATTTTTACTTTTATTGTTGTAGTGGTAAAATAGAGATAACATAAAATTTACCAATTTTGCCATTTTCAAGTGTACAATTTGGTGGCATTTAGGACACTCACAATGCTGTGTAACCAGCATACCATCTAGTTCCTGAACCTTTTCATCTCCCCAAATAGAAACCCACACCCATTGAGCAGTCACTCCCTGTAGCCCCCATGCCCTGGCACCCTCCATCTACTGCCTGCCACTATGGATCTGCCTATTCTTAAAGCCACTTGTGTCTGTAAATAAAGCTTTATTGGAACACAACTGGCTGCTGTCCCCACCATGGCAGCAGGCAAGGTGAGTGGTCCGCAAAACCTAAGATGCTGTGCAACCACCCCACCACCATCTCCGGAACTCTCTTTATCTTACAAAACTGAAACTCTATCCCTATTAAACAGTAACTCCCCCAGCCCTGGTCTCCACCATTCCACTTTCTGTCTCTACAAATCTGACTACTGAGTATCTCATGGGAGTGGAACCACACAGTATTTGTATTTTTTTGTGATCGGCTTAGTTCACTGAGCATAATGTCCTCATGGTTCATCCATGTTGTAGCACGTGTCAGAGTTTCCTTCCTTTTTAGGCTGAATACTATCCCATTGTATGGACAGACGACGTTTCGTTTGTCCCTACACCTGTCAATGGACACCTGGGCTGCTTTTACCTTCTAGCTGCTGTGAACATGGGTGCACAGACTGCCTCTTTGGCCCCAGCCAGGCTGTAACGGGTTTCTGGTCCTTGTGAAGAGTCATACCTAACTCGGCCGAGCCAACTGGACCAGAGGTCCTTGTGCTGGATGAGACGTGTGCTCTGGGTAATTGATGGAGCAAGTCTGACCCTCAGTGACGCAGTCCCCAAAAGAGGGAGACAGCAAGTGTGGCAAAGACAGCCATGCTGGAGAAAGAAAAGGAGGCCGAGCTCCTGGGGACGTCCATGCCAGTGCCGCCTTCCTTCCTGTGTCTCCAGCCTCTGTCCACTTCTGTCTTCTGTCCCGACCATGCTGTGAGCAGCTTCCAGGGATACACTGCAGCCAGCACCTGTCTGGAGGCCCAGCACGTGTGGGAATTCTCCATCTTCCAGATGTGTCCTTCAGGGGGTGGTGAGAGCACTGCTCACCTTGTAGCTGGGTGCATCTGCGATCCAGGCTCTGCTGAGGTCTTCCATGTGAAGGCAAGGATCATGTAGCCACAGCAGTAGAGGTCCCAAACCCCCTACAGAGCAGCCGAGGGTCCTCCCAGCAGTACCACTGGCCTTTGTCCTATAGCCAACCTCCCCGAACCTTGTCCTCTCCCACAGAAAAGAAACACAGGCACCTCTGAGAAGCTGATGCATGCTAGAAAAACCCAGAATGTCCAAGAGTTCGCAGGCCCTTTGGCCATTCTCAGTCACAGAAGCTGCCTCTAAGCATCACCCTGCAGACTACTTTTTATTACAAAGTGAGGAAAATGCCTCCACCAAGAGCCACCTGGCCGATCCCGCTGAACAAAGTTCAAGGTTAACATCACCACAGGGCAGACAGACAACACCTGTCTCCCAGAGTGAGCACAAGTCCTGAACCAGAGGTAGGTAAGTGGTCCTGATGCTGCTGGGAGACCAACGATGTCACATCCCTGTGGGTATATGAGCCTGCTCTAGGGACACTGGCTCCTTTGTCTGCAACATATTTTCAGAATGGTTCAGGAGGAGGGAAGGAAGAAAAGAAAAGGAAAAAAAGAAAAAGAAAGAGGTAAGAGAGGGAAGAAAAGGGAGGAAGGGAGGAAAAGAGAGAAGGAAAAAAAGGGGAGTACACGCAAATGTGCTGAAGTTACAAAACTGACGAATCTACACTTTATGATTACATTTACTCAAAGCATCCCAAACTGGCAAGCACATAGAAACAGAAAGCCACAGGTTGGCTTCCTGGGGTGGGGGTGAGGGGGATCAGAGTAGTGACTAAGGATGCAGGGTTCCTTTCGGGGTGACCAAAGTCATCTGGCTCAACGTGGCAATAGGCACACAGCACTAAGTATGCCGAGAAGCACTGGACCAGACGGGATGAGCTGTGCGGACCGCAAGCTGTCTGCACAGAGCTGCCATAGCACGGGTGAACCTCAGTGAAGACCACGTAGGCCTTGTGCTGCTGTCACAAACATGTCTAAGTCTGAAGTTTTTCAAACTACACAGTCTCAAGAGAGGAAGGAGAAGCCCCTAGCTCGGTCTTTGCTTTCCTCACTCCCCTACTTTAACCAGAGCAAGCCTCCTGGGACCCAGATGTAACCTCACAGTCCCACCAGTGCCTCCATACCTGACAAGGTTTCCACACCATCTGGGGCACTGAATCTGCCCATGCTGTCCCATGGCTGAGAATCCAGGCATCACCTCGGACACTCTGTACCTGTCCCTCGTCATTTACTTCTTCTGTGGTCCTCCACACCAGCGCTCACATCTCCCATCCCAGGCAGCGCTGCCATCATTCTCAGTCACCCACACAGCCAGGACGCCAACCCGAGAAGCCAGACCCTGGCAGCCATGCTCAAGGCCCAGGGCTCCTGTGGCAGCCCCACGGGCATCGTAAGCCCTAAGACCTGATGAAACTGTTCATGTCTCCCAACCAACCTGCCTCACATCCTCTGCTTCCAAGGCAATCAGCCTACAGCCTGTCCTATGCTATCTCACATCAACTTGTCCTAGATGGCTACTTTTAAGTTTGTGGGGGGACTGTCACAAGCCCCTAGAAGCAACACGTACTCTCCTTAGAAAAAATAACATGGCCAGATACAGAGTTTTGGGGGGTCCTGGGTTTCAGTGATCCTGAGCATAGGAAACCAGTCCCCAGGGGGACCAGGCATTCTACTCCCCTCAGCAAACAGTCCTCAGAACACCTGTGTCAGTGGTCCCACAACCTCACTCCCTGACAAGCCCCATTCAATGTCCTCAGTGACTCAGATGGTAAAATGACAATGCAAGTCAATGCCAGTCTGAGCTCTAATTCTATGCCCAGTGGAGGTACTTACACCCCCAACTCACAGGTAAGGAAACTAAGGCTCAGAGGGAGTCAGAACCTCTAAGCCCCGTCCCCAGCAGCACCCAGGGCCCACCTCGGCAGGCGATCTCTGCCTTCAGGAGCCCCTCCATGGCGTCAGACTCAGCCAGGTCCAGGGGCAGGTCCCCATCACTGTTGACAGCGGCAATGTTGGCCCCGTGGCTCAGCAGGTACCTGGGGGTGGAAGGTCAGGGCTGAGGAGTCTGAGCCCCGGCTCCCTGTTGGGTTCCCCCCACCATTCCCCTGCCTCACCTGGCGATGTCCAAGTAACCACAGGAGGCAGCCACGTGCAGGGGCGTCCAGCCCTCATTGTCTGCCTGGTCCACCGTGGCACCCTGCTCCACCAGGAAGCGCACCACCTCCAGGTTCTCATCGATACAGGCCTGGGGGCAGGGGCGAACTGTCAGCCCTCACCTGCTCCAGACATCACACACCCAGCAAGGCAGCACTCTAACAGGGACTATGAGACACATGGCCCAGTCGCCATGACATTCAAGGAGAAGACCACGATGGCTCTAGGACAGGCTCTGAAAGGCACGAGCTGGGCCCCTGAAGGCCCCTCCAGCTACCCAGCTGTTGGAGACACTCCTGGCTGCCCAACAGTTAGGTCAGCCAGACCTTTGGAGCTCAGTGGACACCGCGCGGGGGTTCCCAGTTCCTAGCAAGTCAGAACTAGATGAGAAAAGGGGAGCTTCTCACACAGGTGTGAGAATCCTGAATGGTGCCTGTCAGATGCGACCGACCCATCCCCTTAGTCACCACCAACAGGAGGCTTCCAGGGATGAACCAAGGGAAGATGCCCCACCTCTCCGCCCTCAGACCCAGGAGACACTCTCCAGGAACTGACCAAGGCCTTCCTTGCACCCTGAGAGGAGGTGGATGGGCCCCCAGGGCCCAAGGCTGTGGAAAGACCGGTAAAGCCAACAGATCCCTGGGACCCTGGGGTAATGAGGGTCCTGGGAAGGACCCCTACAGTGGGAGAGGAGGCTGCGTCAGTGTGTGTGCCCAGGGGGTCCACCGTGCACAGGGCACTGTGCCCAGGGGTCTCTGCGGGCGTCGTCCCCACTCCTCTCACTCTCAGGGTTCTGTCTGACAGAGGAAGAATTAAAGATCCACACACAAAAACCCCAGAGTGCACGCAAACACCAGGGGTGCTGGGTCTGAGGGAGGTGGGTGGCCCTGGACTCCTGGGTCCTCGGGGTAAATTAACCCCCCAACCCCCTCACCTCTCCAAACCGCCCATCTAGGGGGAGCCACAAGGGCCAAGAGCATGAAGTCATGGAAATTCAGTCTGCGAGAGGGGGGCCACGCGGCCCTGGGAACAGGATGAACTCTGGGCTCCGTTTATTTCCACCCAGTCGTCATGGCGACGGGGGAGGGGGGCAAGGAGGGAGATGAGCCTTTCCCTTTCAAGGACCTGGCCCTGCACAGGCATCCATGTGAAAGATGCCTGAGGCCTGGGCACCAGGGATTCAAGAATCCAGGCCCGGCTCCTCCTCCCTCAGACCCGGGAGTCCAGGCCCCCAGCCTCCTCCCTTTTCAGACCTAAGAATCCTGGCTCCCAGTACCTCCTACTAAATCCCGACCCCAGACCCCTAGCCAGGAATTCACAAGGCAGTCTCGGGGAAGGACTGCCTCCTCAGGTGGTTGCCAAACTGGCCTGAGGTGGGAACCGAGGTTTGAGAACTCCTAGGGACACAAGCAGGGTAGGGGGCTGATGCCTGGGGACCAGTCCAGGAATACTCAGAACATAACAGACAGCCCAGGTGGAAAAATCAGAATGCACAGCCCCGGGACTCCCTCAGATGGAGAGAGACAGCCCCGTCTACCTGGGGCTGGGGGCTGTGGTGGCCCTGGGACTTTCAATACTAAAACCAGGTCAGTGTTGGGGCAAACCAGCACGAGCTAGTCACCCCACACCAACACCTGACCCACACCTAACTCCCCCACTGGTTGGCACTGTGACCTCGGGTGAGAACGTCCCTCCCTGAACCTTGGGTGCCTAATTCTGCGGGCCCCCTCAGAGCCCCAGCAGTGAGTTTACCAAGTGCAGGCCTGCAATGGGAGCGGGCTCCCACGTGAAAGGCAGCCTGCCAGGCAAGGCTGGAGCAGCCTTTTGCAGGGTCCACGTGAAGGGGGATGCTGGGTAACAGGGCTTGGCCTGAAGAGCAGGGCCCCTTAGGGAAGGTCCAGGAGAGCCAGGGGGTGGGGATGGTGGTGGAGAAAGAGGAACACTGAAGCCTGAGAACCTTCTCCTGGGCTGGCCTATCTTTGAGACCTTACAAGGCCTCAGGGAAGCAGGACCTCCTCTGGGTGAAAGAAAATGCCCCAAATGGCACAAGGGCCTCTGCCTGGGACAGAAAAAGTGGGGAGGAGCAGCACTTACACCAGGGACAGCTACTCCCCCAGCTGACGGCCTAGGGTGCTTCCTGAGGGAGCTCTCCACACACAACTGTCCTCCATCAGCGCCCTGCTTGGGAGGGCCTGACGACTGCCCCACTTCACAGATAAGAAAACTGAGGCACAGAGAGAAAAGCTGCTAATTCAAGGCTGAGGAGCTGAGATGAGAACCCCAGGCTATTCTATTTTCCTGTGTGGCTCCTCTTCCTGGGCACTGAGAAGTGGGCCTATGCAATCACCTCCATTGCCCCACCCCCCTGCCAGCCCCGCTCCTTCCGGGGTCCTCTCTTGGGTGCTAAGAAGTGGGCCACTGCAAGCACTCCTATCACCCCATCCCCTGCTAGCTCGTCCTTCTGAGGTCCTCTTCCTGGGCGCTGAGTGGGCTTCTGCAAGCACCCCCATCACCTCACCCCTGCCAGTCTCTCCTTCTGGGGTCCTCTCTTGCTCCACCAGGAACCAAACCCTAGGGGTTCTGGCAGGGAAGAACGGGCTGGGACTGGATCAATACTAGCAGACTAGGAGAGAGATGGCCTCAAGGATGGGGTAAGGGACAGAGGCTCTTCTGTGGCCAGTCCTGTCGGGTGGTTCCATGATGGGGAAGAGATAGATGAAAGCATCCAGAACCAGTGAGGACCCTGAGCGTAACATGGTTCTGGGATGCAGAGACATTGAAGGCAGCAACCAAGGTGTCCTGGAAAAGCACGGGGGCCCAGTCTGTAGAGGACAGAACCAACAGGGTTCTAGAACTCTTGGGAAAGTGACATGCCAGAAGACTAGGAGAGGTCGCACCGTCTGTGGGAAGGAGAAGCTCCCCAAATCCACAGGAGGAGAGGGGATCCGGGCAGAGAAAGCAAGATGACCAGAGCATGGAGGGGTGGCTCAAAGCTGGGAAGAGGCGGCTGCTCTGAGGTTGCCCAGAGAAAGGGTGATGAAGCAGGCCTAGCCATGGGAAGGAGGGACAGGGAAGGAGAAAGATGCCTGCAGGAGAAACATCGGTGGAAGAAGGCATATGGTGGGAGGCAAGAGGAGGCAAAGGTCCCAGAAGGAGAATTAGGAGAGCTTGGGGTGGAGTGGATGGGGCACCTTAGATGAGGGAAGCACCCACTTCAAGGGTACAGAGCCTCGAAGCCACAGTGAACCTGCAGGAAAGAGTACCCTTAGATGGCAACAGATGGCACAGACCAAGGTGGAGAAGGGGGAACCTTCAAGAAGTGGCATGGAAAGATCTGGGCCTACCCAAGAGCTGGACCAGGCCAGAGACCAGGAGAGGAGGGCGCACAGGCCCAGGAAACAGGATGCTCCTCAGGGAGTGGTACCTGCCTGGAAGAAGGGGACAACAGTGAGCCAAAAGGGGGTACCAGCATTGCCAGAAGAGGTGGCAGGGTGGAGGTGGCACCAACAAGACTAGAAGACGGTGCTCAAGATCTGGCGAGGACAGTGCCAAGTGACAAAACCAGGGCCAGCGAGATGGACCAGACTGAGGCCGTCAGCAATGGCTGGGGTCCAGGGAGAGGGGAGCGCGGGGTGGCAAAAACTAGGGCCAGTTCGAGTGGCTCAGGACTGGAAGAGGGGAGCTCGAGGTGGGTGGGATGGGAAAGGGGACTCGGAGAGGGGGTCAGCATAGGATGGCAAGGGCCGGGGCCGGAATCGCCGCTGCAACGGTGACTCTGGACTGGGGAAAGAGGTGGCGCAGACCGAGGGCGGACAAGGTCCCGGGAGGGGCGGGGGCGCTGACCTGGTGCAGGGCGCTGATGCCGTCGGCGTTGGTCGAGTCGAGCACGGCGCGGGCGGGCGACGGGGCGGCGGGGTCGAGCTCAGTGCCGGGGCCGGGG